CCCCCCCCCCGCAGCTGGATGCGTTTAGTCAGTGGAAGACAGACACAGCTACCAGCTCGACCATGTGTACCCCACCTGATAACTGAATCCACGATCGTTTTCATTTTTACCACACTGAGCACAGAGTCTGCCCTTCACCAGCTGAGCAGAATTTCCAATGCACAGTAATGTGCAAGCATTGATCTGATGGATGGGTTTTGTTTTACACCACTTATATATTCCTCTGCACGACTCTCAAAGGCACAGTGAGTACCATTCAGAGCTCCCATTAGCAGAGTATTGAGTTCAGAAAATAAACACTTACAGATATTCAAAACCGGTTTGTTATCTATCCCAATGTAGAATTGTGAAAGCAGTCAATAACAAAACCTAAGATGGGAGAAAGCATTGGCACTCAATCTGAATGAAAATATGAGCTTTTCTATGAATGAGGAGATGAAGAGGTTTATCTCAAGACAGCACAAGACATTTAATCAAGCACAGAAATGCACTGAGTGACAGACAAGAGGAGAGAATGACTGATGGGAGTTGGCAGGGAGAAAAGGCAGGTAAATACAACTACTGAGGCAAGGAGCACAGCGATCACCCCCCAAAAAAATGGAAAATGGGAAATGCCTGGGGGAAATTCAGACACTCACCTCCTTTTCTCCCTTCTTCCTTCTCTTTTCTTCTCTCAGTGCAGACGTGCAGTGGAGTAGATGGCACTCCTCATCTCACTGCTGCTATGGTGTCTGCAAGAGCACACCCCTCTCTGCCCATTCATAGCTCCGCCAACGCACCACTCATGCATGGACGCACGCACACACACACACACCACACACACACACACACACACACACACGTTTACAATGCCAGGTGTGCCAATCATAGTTCTGTATGTTAATGTCTCCAGCCTGGCAGTCGGAAGCTGTGGGTGTGACAAAAGTATCATATACTGCACATTAATGCTTACTAACACAGATCTGTTATGGTCTCAGGCTAATTACATCTATAAGTTCATGATATAGGGCAAGGTGGGCGAAGGAAATGCTTCCCAAACCTCTTACTGTCACGCTGAAATATGCACGTTGCTGACATCACCTATGTGGATGAATCCACCTATGACTCATCTAATTTGTTTTGTAACCCATACAATAGCCAAATACACCCCATAATAGTCCATCCCAGGCTCCTCAACTGGAAAACACCTTCCAGCAACAAGTCCGTAGACAGATGAAGCAAGTCATTGGCTACAAGCCCTTCATAAAGAGCCAATCACAGCCCTGCAATGATCCACCGTCACTGTGCAAAAATGACATCATTACATGATGGCATTTTAGAGGGAGTTTTCACCAACAAGATACACCAAAGACACAGGATAATGTAATCAAAGCTAGTTAAAATCGACACCTACACAGACAGACACAGATCAGACTTGTTTTACACCACATGAGTCATACAGCCAGTCGGCTGGGGAAGTGGGCTCTGGCTGCACTTCATATAAAACCAAATCACGTAGCATTTGACAAGCCAGAAACTGACCTCAGAGATTCATAAAAAAACATTCCTCAGTGAAGGCTAAAAGCTAAACCGGACACCTTTCGCCAATAACAAATACAGACATAAATGATCACATTTCATCATAAGTGACTTTTATTCTTCGGATACACCCTGTGAGATATTTTTTATGACGACATTGTCTGATTCATTACCTGTAATATCACATTACTAATTCATGATCTGGACCCTGAGATGTCACCTGTGGTGACAGGAAAACAGGACTTGACCAAGGCTCCTCAAAGTGCCATCACAGCAAACAAAATGCATTTGCAAGTACCATAAACACACATTTGAAAATAGCAAGTAAGCACACAAAATGGAAATTAGTAATTTAAAATATTAAAATTTCATCTCAGCAAAAATATTCAATAAACTTAATTCACACAAAGCAAAAACAATTGTGCAATACACTTCAACCCCCCCCCCCCCCCCNNCCCCCCTTCTGGACAGTCCTGTGAAGAAACATGTTTTTGCTTAGAGTTCAAAGAAAAGCAATGTGAGATTTTGGGAAATAAAAGCAAACTGTACATCATTAAACATCAGGGAACACTAAAGCAAACACATTCGCTTCAGGTTGAGCTAAAACTTCTTTTCAAACATTTTCGGATACATTAAACAATTCATAGCAAACATTTTTCCCCATTAAGTAGTAGTGTTTTGAAATGACACTATAAATGCTTGCCATGGTCTTTCTTCTTTACATACTGCCTTTAGTGGGAAATTATGAGTAGCAGAGATGGTAACACACTGCAGACTCAGAGCTTATTTGTAAACAATTATAAAAAAAAAAAAGTGCTTTACCATTTTTCACTAAAAAATTACTTTTTGTCTTTGTCCGGTAACATGATGTCGGGAGATGTTGTAGTTTTCATGTCTGTGTCCACCCCACACACACACACAGACGTCTTTCAAACTGCTGTTTCCCTCAAGTCTTTGGGCTCAGATTGAGAAGAGTCTGAGGTTTTCTCCACTGCTCCAGCTGAACTTGGACTTAATGACGTCTTGTCTTCTTTGTCCTCTTTGGAGTCTGCAGTGGAGGAGCTGGTGGTGCTGGGCTTGTCTGGCTCTGTGTCCTGCCCCTGCTGAAGGAACAGAGGGATCTCCAGCTGCTCTTTGGTCAAAAGGCCTCGCTGGTCATCAACCCTGCAGCACTGAGCCCTCGTCAGCATGTCCAGAAACCCTGACACACACAGAACATCATGCTAATTCTGACATTTGTTGCAAATGAATAAATAACACTGAGCTATTTTTAATGTGCCCAAGGTATTAACATTTCATAGTTGGGAATATAGTTAGGCAAAACAGACTCATTTTAGTCTTGATTAATTTTTAGAAACATATATCATTAAATAGTGTAGTGTTCTTCATACCCATCCTGGCTAGGATACTAGGGTTGGGCTATATGGCTTAAATGTGCCATCAGGGAATTTACAAATTTTATATAGCAATATAAATAGAATTAAAATAAGAAAAATTATTTGAAGTTCATTATTGACATTAAAACTAAAAATCTCACACCTAGGTCCATTTTGTAGCTTTTCTGGAGTTTTTGATCGTATCACACAATCTTCCTTAACAGATGAAGTTTGCCCATTCATCAAGGAATTATAATTTTAAAATGTAAAACTTGGATGAGTTTGAAACATAAGATGAGATTGCTTTGTCAACAATTAAGGAACATGAGGTCCACTTTTTTGTGTTGGACCTCGTCTTGAGAATTTATTTTTTGATTCCAAGAATTAAACATTAAACTCATACTGAAACAATGTATTAGGTATAATCACTGTTTTGTCCCCACATTGATGAGATGATCTGTAAATTCAATATTGCCATAGATTCTCTGGGGAAATCTCTGATGTCTGTCTTGTTTCCATATGGCCCAACCCTACTAGATACTGCTCAGATGTCCTACCATCCATGTCGCGGTTCTTACTGGGCTTGGGCTGAGTCTTGGCTCTGTCCATCTGCAGCGATGATCTGGCTTCCAGACCCCCTGCACTCACGGCTCCTGCCTGTGACCAAAATAGATTCCAGTGTTATCGATGTACGTTTCACAGGTTTTAAATCCCATTAACATTGTATACTACAAATTCTACAAATCACACAAGGGTTACATTTTTCAAAGAGATAAGTGTTGATGCTTTTTGACAAGAATATTTCTAGTGTAAAACCACTCCCTATATACTCTTTAGTGCACCAGATTTACTGTCAGCCTTTATTATAATTATAAAAAAGGTTGTGTCCAAAACACTCCCCCTTTATAATGTAACGTCTTCAAATTATAATCATATTATTTAGATAACATTCTCTAGAATTTCAAGCAGGTAATTAAGTAAACATTGTTTCAGATTTCATTATTTGAAATAAATAAGCCAATTATGTCACGACACACAACAGTATGTATGATTCATCAGTATCATAGTAATCTCAGGATTGGCGCTTATCAATTGTCTAGGGATATCTAAATGCAAAGCAGTTGCTTGA